AAAACGAAAAAAAAAAAAAAAAATACGTGCTGGCGTCCATTTTTCCGCACCATTTTCATAACAAAAGAATGCGATAGGTCTTTGAAAGCGACGCCTGTCATTTCAGAGAAATTTTTCATGCAGCGAAAGTAATTTCCATCAGATATTGTAAATAATTGTTCAGAAATAGGCGTGCTTTGAACACAGTTAAACGAATTTTGTTAATTAAAAATGACTTGTTTAACAACGCCAACGTCACAGGGTTCATTATGAGCCATATTAACACGTGTGCTGATTTACCATAGAAAGTGCTATAAAAGTTCAATCAATTACGTACATTTTTAAAAGATATATGGCCACCTTAGCAAATTAATTCTAATGTATGCATCACTTTGAGTCAATAAACGCTGAAAAGCATAAAAAGCGCCAACAGCCGCCGAATCGCTCGGACAAATAGAACTGCCAAGCTGCAACGTCTGCGACGAAGACAGTCCTTTCAGTGCAAACGTTATTGAGATCAATCGCTTATTACAAGATGAAAACCTTTCCTCTGCCCAGAAGATTGTCAGTTTCAACGGTATTTCTTGTTTCAATTATTGTTGCCATAGTCATTGCCAATGAAACACACCAGAAAGACTGTGTTAACTGTGTTGATGCTGCGGACGAGTATACAGTGAAGAAACGCGGCGGTTTTAGAGTATGCTACGCTGGAAAGTGCCCGAGGCGCCGAAGCCGTAAAAGGGGAATGAAGATGGTAAGAGTTAATTCTTCCAGACATACTCGAAAGCGCTGTAGTTTTTGTAACTTTTGGTCAACTGAAAGTATGATTGTTGAAGTGTTGTCTGTTATGTAGGGAACTCAGTGTAAGGTGCCCATAAAGTAACAAAGTGTAATTCGTTTGATTTTGTCGCCAAATGTCACGCATCTTGGACTCACTTAACAATTTACAACTGTAAAAAGAAAAAAAAAATGTTATCTTCAGCTGGTATAGCTTCCAAGTTTTTTGTCCTCAGCACACATTGGGCAAAGCCCAATACGCCAATTCTCCATTTAGACGAAATATAAAGCTAATCACAAAAGCGAAATTTTACGTAATTTGCTGTTTTCGATGAACCGTTGGAATCCAAAGTTTTCTTTTTATTTACACCGTCTTATCAGTTTCTACGCATTTTGTTGACTTAAGAAAACATGTCAGTTGAGGCACATTATTGAAACGCCATCTTGACAAATGAGATAATTATACATGGCGAATGTTGATTTTAGAGGAATTAACTGAAGAATTAACTCAGCAATGTGAACCAGCAAAAGTTTGCTCGCAAAGAACGAGGTACCATTATTTGCGCCGAGGAACTACAAATGACACAATCTTCCATAGAATCCGCTTCGCTTGGCGTTTATTTACCGAAAAGGCGTGTTTTGGTTGCGTTTTATGTACTAAGTGGATAAATTTAGCATCAAGCTTGTTTAATTTAGTTCGGGAGTAAAGACAAGCATCGTGCGTCGGTGAACTGTGACAAAGGTCTGAAAGATTAGTTCATTTCGAGAATGGCTTTAAATGTTTACCAAACTTTGTTTATCTGGTCAAGAATGGAACCACAACGGCAAGAAAAAACGTTGATAAACTTTCGAAATTTGAACATGAATACATTAAATTTGTTTCAGTTGTTTGCTCGGCCCCACTAGCACTTGTGCTATAAACATTGCCGAGGGTTAATAAAGGTTAAAAATATTTTCTTATACTCCTTTTTAATACATTCTTTGAGTGGAAGCCACAGAAAATGCCTTTTTCCTTTGCAAAATGGGAGGTGTTTTAGCCAGCACCCCAGCCGCATGATGTAAATGAACAAGATATAAGAAGGGAAAGTTTTCATAACTGTCTGACGCACAGCACTTTCAAACCAAGGCTTCATTAACGACTACGTCGCGAATTTTTTACCAAAACTGACCTTGTCCATTGGTCAAGACTGATAACCAAACAACATCATCTTCGAAAATTTTAATATGAATTCATCTCTCATTTTCATGTTAATGTAAAGAAGTCTACGGAATTAAAGACGAAATAGGTACGCAAGCGAGAAACCGAACATAAGAAAATTAACCATACACTTGCCCAGCAGATAAAAATTTCAAAAGAAGGGTTTGCCGGCCAGTTGTCAAGACAGAGAGATTTCACGATTGATGAGTTGCTGTTTCTTTAACGTTATGGATTCATCCTTCCATTAAATATATGCAAGACTGGGCTTCATCTTATGCAAATGATTTTGGCTACTTTCTTGTTGATGCGAACAGGTGACAAATAAATATGCAGAGATATAAAAACATATCCTCTTAACTAAAGTTAGGGTAAAAATGTTACAGGTCTTAGGGAGAATTAAAACTCCGAACTACTGAAAGCTAATAACATTGTAGAATGATTGAGTCGTTTCCTGGATTTTGAATGGAATTTCTGGCTCGACTGCTATCTGAGATTTCTTTTGATGAATTGACAAAAGGGCCAAGCTTCTGACTAGCAATTAACAAATCTCTAAAGCTTGAACTTGCAAAAACGATAAACGATCAAGCTGTATTTGAATTAAACAGAAGGCGAAACTGTTCATCGAAGAGCGGACAAAACGCGGTGATCTTTTTAACTACCAACTGACAAACCATATGTGGACGGAATTTTACTGAACTCAAAACTTCAAAAGGGCGTGAACTAAAATCACATGAGACAAATGGTTGTAAATGTTCACTAAAAATTGTAGGAACAGATGTTAAAATTAACACAATCAAATTCATTTTGTTTTTTAATAGAACCTAGCACAGTTTGAAAAGGAGCTGCAAGATTTCGAGTCGACTAATTCAGAGAACTTTGACGTATCCCCGGCGGAAATAAGGACGATAGAAAACGAGAAAAAGTCACCAGCCAATTAAAAGTCAACAAAACCTGTAAAGTCGGTAAGTACGTACAAAAATACTTTTGAATGATGTATACTGTACAAAAGGAACGCTTAATGTGCATTGAGACTTTTAGATATTGAAGAAAACTCGGTTACCTAGTTCCTAGTGATTTGAGTGTTCCTCATCCAACTACATCTCAGTTTTGTCAACGTTGTTTCTTAGTACCGTAGTATCAATTTACAAAAACCCTCGGAGAAATTTTATTTTTATTACTCCTTCAATTTACTCATTTAATTCGATTATCAGCTGTGTCTAGTTAAAAGGAAACCGAGTACCTCAAATTAGCTAAAATGGTCCGATGAACCGTAGATATACAAAAAAATGTCTGTATGTGAGAGATATATAAGCATTTTTTTAAATTTAATTTGCCAAACTGGTTCATTCTTATCTGATTTTTGAAAATTATGTTCCTTTTCCAATTCCTAGCACATTTTATCTGTTAAACAATAATATCAATTTACCCAGATTGAAACTGATTCGCAGTTTAACCCGTCATGACGCGACAAGTCACGTGACTCACTGGTTACGCGGTGACTGAAACTGTGGGCATCTAATAAAACTACTCCCGTCTTTTCAGCATATTTTTGTTGTTGTTGTTTCCTCATAAGGAAATGTGCAGGGTGGATAAGGAAGGAGGAATGTTTTGGCCTTTTTCATGATAACTAACTCTATTTTTGTTATTTATCTTTTCAGCAAATGGAAGCAATGAAGTTCCTCTTAAAGTAAAATGTAAACTAAAGCCATCCATGTTTCTTTCATTATTTTTTTCTATCGATGTGTCTGGCAAACTTACTCGAGCAGAAAGGACTACACAACAGCGGAGAACGACTCCTTTTAGGAGAATTCAATCTACATGAAGCTACTCTAAGTAAAATAAAATTTTCTGTTACCCGCTATCTCAGTGTTACTCTTATGTAAAGTAGCTTTTGTCAGTTACATTGTATACTTACTTCGTTCGATTTAGACAGTATTTTCCTGCATCACATTTTGTTTGTTCGAAATCAAGCCACCTTCTATCAGCTAAAATGTTTGACTGTTGCGTCCGTAAACTACAACCAAGTGGCACTAGGCAACACTTTTGGAAAATAAATGGCACGCAATGCGTGTATAGACGATGACGCCTTAGAATGTCTGAAATATTACCTACCCTGGAAATTTCCAAACAAACAGGTGATAAATGTAAATTAAGTAAATGAGGTCCCTTGAAGTCGGAACAGCCCTGCGCATTTTAAGTTTGGAGGAGAACAGTATGGGAATCAGCAAATCGTTTATTTTATGTTATCCTTTTCAGTTGGGATTCATGCAAGTCAAAACGGCATAAAACACAAACGTCACAAACAACTTGCTTTTTAAGGTTGGACTTTTCCCAGCATATTCAATTCCAGATTCAAGCACGGTTTCCAATCAATTTTATTCAAAAAGGTTCAGGATTCAGTCGGAACAAAAACCTGCGTGGAGGGGATTTCTTGCTGACATTTACATTTACGTTTACATTTACATTTACATTTACATTTACATTTACATTTACATTTACATTTACATTTACATTTACATTTACATTTACATTTACATTTACATTTACATTTACATTTACATTTACATGTACGTTTACGTTTACGTTTACGTTTACGTTTACGTTTACGTTTACGTTTACGTTTACGTTTACGTTTACGTTTACGTTTAC